TGTCTGGTTTTAAGGATTTTTGTCCTGTCTTGAGCTGTCAATAGATTCATGTACCTACTATTTGAACAGAATACTAACCTGTTTCTAGGCTTTAAGTTTCGAGGAAATATCCTTACCAGTTCAAAACTGCTTTTCTTGAAACCACCAGCTGAACTTGCTATTGAAAGTAGTTAGATTACCTATGATATTGTGTGATCAACAAAATGTTGGGTGAAAAGGAATTGAAGACAGCTGTAGACAGCAGAGATAGTGTAATAAGAGGGTGGAATAGGGCAGAGGGTCAGGCATGGGGTAAAAAACATATATATGAAAGTAGAAATGGAGTATTATTGATAGCATGCATGATTAAGCCACTATGCAGTTTATTCTAGATGAGAAACCACATTTAGTATGTTGTGATGATGCTCAGGGATTTAATGTAAATTAATAAAAAAATTCAGAAGGAAAAAAAAACACTAAAACTGTATTTGATGACCACAGTAAGTTATATAGCCTCAGCTAGGTACTATTTCATAGTATGTTCATTCTACTCACTGAGGTTTATGCCTAAAGTCAGACATGGATTCATGTGTATGTATATATCAGCGGCGCTTGCTATTGCAAGTATTTAGACAAATTAAGTTCATTAGCAATTCAATTAAATGGGAAGGCATAGAAAGCAATCATGGATACCAGAGACAATGTGGGAGGAAGGTTAGGGATAGGGAATCAAGGATGGCAAAAAAAAAAAAAAAAAGCAAAATATACAAGACATGAGAAATGGAAAATTATTTGTCGATAACATGTATGTTGATGTGATTGATTGCACCAATAGACAGTGTATTTTGGATGGAAAATTCATTTTGTATACTGTAATGATGTATAGTGAATTAATGTAATAAATAAATAAATATATTAAAAAAAAACAAAAACAGAGGTGTTGGTACAGCCAGTGGTGTGGTGGATAGGGCAACTGGAGACTTTACTAAAGCATATTCTACTACTTAACTATACTATTATACAATTAACAAAAGAGAGAGGGGACATTCTCTTTTTTTCCTAATAGACCTAAGTTAGTAATGATACTATAAAAATCAGATATTTAAAATTAATAATTGTCTACAAATTAATCAACAAAATAGTTTATATTGAATCTATAATGTGTACATTTTAGAAGTTGAGACACCATTTCTGATAAATGCCCTGATTATATAGATCCACAGAATAACTGGTAAGAGTAGGGCTGAGCTATAATAATAGCACACAAGGGACCAGAATTTGGTGTAATGGCTATGTCGCTGGACTCCCATGTAGTCGGCCACAGTTCGAATCCTGGACCCAGTGGCTTAATTTATGCTGGGCGTGTGTTCATGCATGCCCAAGATCCTAGGAGGAGAATGGAGGAGAAGGGATTGTGGCATGGCCATCTGCCTGGGGGGTGATTTTTCGCTGTCTCTCTGTCTTTCTCTGTCTTTCTGGTGAATACACACACCCTATGACAAAAGCCTCTCCAAAATAATAATAACAATAATAATAATAATAATAAAAACACAAATCACAAACTCAGCTGCCTTCAGGATTCAGAAATTTGGCATATGATGTGAATAGTAAGGAATTATGTTGAACCGAAGAGCACATCTGCCATTCAGCTCCAAGGAATTGTTGCCATGTAGAAAAATGGGCCCTGGGCCAGCCCACGACCTGGTGCGTTAAGGAGCCAAATCCCACATGGCCAGCTGTGTAGTTGGAATCCTCATCTTGGTGGCTTGAAAAACATGCAAGACATATGTGTATGTGCATGCTTCAAATCCAGACAGA